GCTTTGATGGAGAGCAGCTTGCCCTCTGCTCCAGAGAATGCCTCTCAGGGGAATGTTCCCTGTAGTACTTTAGATGATAACCACTTCCACAAAGTGTAATGGATGACAAAAGAAACCACACCATAGTGTGACCCATGCCAGTTTGAAGGCTTTAAAATTACTGACCTTACTCTAAACTTACAGTTGATTTTTTTATTTTTACTCCCCTACGTGGAAAATAGAATTACAGGTGTGCTGTGATCACTACAGAAGGGCTTTTGCAGCAGGATGCCCTGGAGATTCTGCCATCAGTTTCTTGTATAAAGTGTCTTGGTGAGGACAGAAATGTAGATCACTGCCATGGAGTTGCTGCCATGTGAGAGATCATGTGGTAGAGAATTGGTTCTAGTTTTGGATGGTTCTAAAGTTTCCCTGTTACCATCTGGACAACCAAGAGTGACAAGTGTGATGTGATCCCCTGCACTTTTGTACATGAGGCTGGATTTAAGCTTGTTTATCTAGGCCGAGTTGTGCTGTCACAAGAACATTCAATGGCAGTCAGGCAGTGCTGCCATGGCTGTGCTGCCAGTGCCACCTCAACAAACAGCTCTGACAAATCTGCTGTGCTGAGTCTGCTCCAGACACAGAAATCACTGCAGTGCTCACATCTTTGGGGTTTTCCTTGGTGCACAGCGTGTAGGCAGAATTATGTGAGATACATCTGCTTTGCAGCCGTCCTGAGAAATTTTGCTGACCTAGAGATAAAATATACTTACCTGTTTTTGTATGAAGGTGCCATTGGAAAACTAGCATTTCACTCATGCATAAAATTGTTATTAAAAAAGTAGAGAAGCCAGACTTTGTGATGTAGACAGATATCTGCCCATCTCGAATGGATGTATGAAATTTATTATTTTCTGATTTTAAAGTGCCAACCTCAAGAGCAAAGGGTTATCAAGAAGACAGTATTAATCAAGTTTGCCCATTTCTGCAAAACTTTGCTGTAATACCCTGTACTGGCATTGTATAGCTCTTCATAGTGTGACAGATGTAATTCATTTTCGGCCTGCACCACTCAGAATTAACGAGGTTATTATAAATTTGTGCTGATAAAATCTTTATACCACCTCATGGTGGTACGTGCCTTTGTTGTAGAGTGTGCAGAGAGGTAGATGTATATATACTTGTTCAGCTTATTTATTTATCTTTAAACTTACAGTACATAAAGCTTAAGATCTAGTATTTTAATACTTCAATAGTCCTAAAATGTCCATAACTGTAAAGGTAAATGGCCTATGAAATGATATACTTAGCATCTGTAAAGGAATAATGTGTTTAGAGACCCAGTGAAATAAATCTGTCAACATAAGACTACTTTAGAGAATAGGATTTCCATGAAGTTATTTTTTTCTACAGAATATTAGGAAAGCTGATTCAGTTAGACAAAAAGAGATTAGAGAGACAAGGATGTGTATATGGGGGAAGCCAAATAAGCATTTCAATTACATGAATTAAACAAAGGCAGTGAAAAAAATTCATTTGACCAAGGCAGCCAATTTGGTATAATCGAAATTACCAACAACATTCACAGAGAAATGAAAATAATTTGAGATTTCTGAGCATCTAAATATGGAAAAAGTATAAATGTTTCTTTGAAAGTGAAAAAAAATTCTGATTAAGTTTCCACAGTCAAGTTATTTCATTTTCTTTTGAGCTAGCTTTTATTGCTAAGCTCAAATTTGTTTCAAAGCATTTAAAAATGCAGGAATTGGAGGGAAAAGTGACATGTTTATGCTTATGCCATCTGAGTATTTTGTTAGTAATTGCAAAAGTGGCAGTATCCAAGACATCAGTGTGAAAGAAAGCCTTACAGTAATTTGAATAGTAATGTAGCAAATAGCAGCAAGACTAAAGTACATATCCTGTAATATATTCAGCAAGTCAGCTAGCTCCTAAATGTACACATATCACTTCTACCTGAGCTAGTCTCTGAAAAGTAAAGTTTGAAACTGGGGAGACACTCAGAAAGGTAAACTGTAGGTCTGCTCTGGTTTTAAAATTTCCCTCACACAGCATTTATTGAGCACCTTCCAAAATAGGGCAGCCTATGCAGACAGCTGCCTTAAGCCTGAGGAGTCACTGCTCTTTCAATTTCTTGCATTGCTGGGAACACTAAGCTCTAAATTTACAAGAATTTCAACAAAATAATTAAATATTAGGAAATTCCATCACATTAAATATTATTCCTGTACATGTTAATGTCTTTGAAAAAAACCTCTGGTGGATGAAGTACAGGATTGTTTTATTTTAATTAGAATAATTGACCTCCTGGTTGTGTGTTTATTTTAATACTTCCTATGTATAAGGTACCCTAGTGACACATGTCATCAATTTTGGGCCACATTCAGTGCACATTCTCTTCTTTCAGGATTAATCTTTCAGAATTAAATATCAGATCCAGTTCAATAGTATATTCAATTCCAAATATGAACATACCCTCAGAGAGTGAGAATAGAGGGAAAGGTCAGATGATATCATCAGTTGCTAAGAACAGCTACAGGGTTTGAGAAGCAGGCTGAGGAAAAGGGAACATTTCTTGGACAGGAGCCAGAAATCTGCACTGTAGTGAAAAATTTTTCAAATTCTATGTACAGTATTTCCATTTGGTAAGGATTTTTGAGGATTACACCATCCAGCTTTCAGGGATTAAAGGCAACAGCAGCCTCAAGAATCTTGTTTGTCCACATTTTTAATTGTCAGAAACACTGGTTTCAGTGTCAAAGCAAGAGACCTATAAAGACATGACCAAATGGTTAATCAAGGTATGTGTTTGCTCTCATCCTTCATTTAGAGAACGTGAACATTCTGATGGGATATATTCTTGAATGGTGGCTATTATGTTATCTGCAATTATGTCATAAGAGTTGATATTTCAAATCTATTCCGATACCTTTCAGGGTTTTTCAATACAAAAGCAGTTTAGCCCTCAATGTATCTAATAAAGTGAATTCATTGGGATGATGTGTTGAAGATTAAAGAACTAAATCTTGCAATTATTGCAGTCATAAAACATGCTAGGTAATAAACTGAGAAAAATTTTATAGAATGATTTAACACCTTTGGTAGTCAATGGGAAGAAACAAATGAGATTGGTCCTAATGAATTTTCCTTGGAAATCAAGGAAGTCAAAGTGAGTTAGGAAATCAGTGTGAAGAAGGCACAGGGCCCTTAAACCCCTTAGGCTGTCTATAATGCCGTGCAGATGCCTTGGCAGCATTTCTGCAGTGTGAGCTGTGTGTGAGCACATCCCGGTGTGGGTGCCACGTTCTGCTAAGGAGAGCAGGGCACTGCAGGACGTGTCTCTGCAGAGGGGCTGCACTGTGCTCTGTGGGCACAGCAGCTGGGACATCACCACGCTGCTCTCCAGCCTGCCCTGACAGGTGTTCCCATGGTTTCCAAGCTTTATGCAAACTTCCAAAGAGTAAAAATTCTATATATTCTCCACAGTGTTTATTCATTTCACATAGTAGCTTTCAGCACTCTCACTGCCATTCCTGTTGGCAGCTCTTTTAAAAATTGTAACCTACTCAATTGCCAACTTTCATTATAATCCCAAATTTATAAATGAAAGAAAATGACTGCTTAAAAAAAAATAATCAAAGCACTTGGCTAGCTACAGAGATGTGTTATTACAGATCTCTTTGTTTGCTGTGAAAGTGCTTGTCTTTTCTTTCCAAATGCTAGTCTAATTTTCATAATAATGATTTTAGCTTTGCCTTCCTTTTTTAAAACAGCATTAATTTTAAAAAATGAGTGTGTTCCAGTGGTCAAATCTCTTGGTGGCAAAACATACTTAATTCTTAATGGGTGTATAACCTTGTTAAAGGCTGAGTGAAAACTAAATGATGTCCTTAGAAAGAGAAAAATAATGCAGTTTGTTCTGGCATAAATAGGAGGAGGAGAAAGGGGAGAAATGTGAGCTATAAACAAATCTGTGCAGTGGAGGCAAGCTTGGTGTCCAGCTGGAAAACTGTCTTGTGTAGGGAAATGACTGTGGTGGGAATAGTGACTGACAGAAGTGAGTGACAGGCACAAGAGAGGCTGCTGTGGTGACCCTTGAAAAAGAAGTTTTTTATATAGTCTGTGCTCCTCTGTATCCTTGGCTGAGGAAATAAATCAATGCACACTTCCTAAAGTGTATAACCATGGTTTTTCTAAATGGAAATGCAGCCTTTGAGTTCCCCTGTGCTCAGGAGGGAGAAGCTTTCTCTTGCTGGTAAATCACATACAGCTAAAAAATTTGGAATTTGGCATGCAGAAACCTGATTCTCAGGTGCTGGAAGATGAACTTCCACTGCAACAATGTAGATTTACACAAGCTGACAACCAGTACTTTAACTTCAGCAGCAATAGAAAACTGTAATTGATATTTTTAAAAAATAGACTTATAAAGAATCATAGTAATTTCAGATTTCCTATCTGAAATTAATGGAACTACATAAAATAACAGTGAGCTAAAAATATTAATTTCCCAGAGACTTCAAAATTAGCTTAGCTGTGATGAGATTGATTACTGTTTTTAACAGAAAAGAGAAATAATTAGGGGGAAATTTTAAATTAATATTTTTAATTAACATTCCTGCCTTTACAGAAAAGAGGGAAAGTGTAAAGAAGTGTTAAAAATTAAGTATGTGGACACCAAAACAAGTAGCCTTAACTTTTAAATATGAAGTCAAAGTTGACTGATTTACAAGTGAATTCTAGACATGAATTTTCTTTTCAATGATTAATCTGCTGTTTGGGATTTAGATGGTGATTAGTGGTAAAACTTGTATTGCCCGTATGCACCAGCCCCTTGTGGAGGATGACAGGCAGCAGTTTCCATCTGGGGGACACCTGCAGTGCTGCTCTGGCCATCCTGTGACCACAGCTGGAAGTTGTATACAGGTGATAACTGTAACACTAACTAAATTTCCAAAAGTAATGTTTGGGTTTTCTTTTTTTTTTTTTTTTTTTGGCAGACTATTTGCAAACATCCAGGAGCTCAGTGTTTCTCAGTGTTTAAAGGGACAGTCCAATATCTAAGGAAATAGTCAGTGTAATCGGATGTGATCATTGCTATGGCAACAATTTCTTCCAGATCAGTGGATAAAATGCTCGTTTCAAACTTGTGTCTATAACTTGTAAGTAGACTTCTTTATTTATTCTGTTTTATTTCCTCCTCAACATCCTCAATCTCCACAATGAAGCTTCTAAAGAGCACTTGTAAAGAGCACAGTACAACAATTGGTGAAGCAAGTGGGTTCAACAATCCATATATTGACACAATGAATTCAATAGAAAACTAATTAATGATAATAAAAATAATAATAAGATAGCGCTTTGCCCTCTATGGCTTCTTTCATCAAAGAAGCTGAAAGAGCTTTGCAAATATTAATTAAGCCTCAGAACACCCTGATAAGCATCTCTGTCTTCTCATTTTCTCCTTGTAAGTAATATTAATTTCTGGATTACAATGATTCAGAACTACAAATCAAGAAAGACTGGAAGGTAAAAAAAACATCCCCCCTCTGCTATTTTAAGGTTACCCATAAAATCAAAGCCTGCACGGGTGAAATCAGCTGATTCATCTGATGCTCTGCAGAATTATCTGTGCACCTGGCCCTGCACTCTCATTTCTGTGAAGTGTTTCTTTGGGCCATAGCGTGTGCATTCTTCTAATCAGATTTTTTTATCAACGTATAATCTTTTCCTAACCAGTAAAATATATTGATGGTTCTTGCTACTACATTTACAGTCTAACATACAGATTTAGACAAAGTGATTTTTTATTTTATTTTAAGAAAGTATTCCCCAAAGTTTAATAAAGAGTTCATATATTCTAGTGTGCAGAAGGCTGGTCTAGGATCTTGAGACCTAATCCTATTTGCAAATGGCTTGAATTGTAGCTTTGGAAAAATATTTTAATCTCATTACTTCAATTTCCTGCTTTGGAGAAGAGATAAATAGTATTTGTTTATATTCAGGGTTTCTAGAAGGATTATTTAAATGTTGTTTTAAAGAGAGTGTGGCTCAGTGCACTGTCTCAGAACAGGAACAAGGCAATTATCTGTTTATTGAGGCATTTATTTATTATATCCTAATTTTATGAGCTTGGCCTGGCTGATCTGGCCCATTCTACAGAGGACAAGATTTTGGTGAGATTTTTATTACAACTTTATCAGCAGCTTCCACTTCCCGGTCACACTTTATTCACCTATAAGAATGAAATAATCCTAATTATTTTCTAGGGCAAAGTTAAATCTTTTCTGTTTTTTAGCAGATGCACGGTGTCATTCCCAACAGCTGTTTTCTTTGGTTCTTGGAATGCCACTTCCTATTCCCAATGATCGTCCATGCTGGCTTTTCACATGCCAGGGCGAGTCGCTATCATCTCTGACTCTGAACTGGTGAAAGGAAGAATGTCTGCATTCAAATTATTCACAGAAAAGTGCTTCTCCTGGTTTGTGCTGTTATTTCAGGCAGCCAAATGATTTCTGCTCAAGTAAAGACAGCAGTGTGGTGCCACTGCAAAAATCTGTGTGTGCCTGCTCAGGGCTCTGTGAAAGTCACTGGCTTGGCAAACGCGCTCTGCAGCGTCACTCACATTCCTTCTCATCTCCTGACTTTTACACAGAATTTCATTTGCAGACTGAACTTGAAGATCTTAAGCTAAAGCTCTGTTGGGCAGGGATGCAAATGTGAGAGAGGTGAGGAGAGGTGAAGTGGCCTTTAGGTGGCCATATCTCTGACAAGCACTTCTCACTCCCTGCAAAGCTGCGGCGCGGGCTCTGACGCCGTTGTTTGCAGCAGCTCCTGCCAAGAAGTCGGGGTGCAAAGATGCTTGTCCTGGTTCTCTTGTGGGCAATTTTAGAGAAAAAAGGTATTGCTTAATTCTAATGAACTATATGCAAATATTTGATTAATCACTACAGAATGATATTGTAGATGGTGTTTTTAAACTCAAGAAAATATTTGAAGTTCTTTTCCTACCTGTTCACAAGCCCAGAAAGGAGAGACTGTTCAGACGCCCTTCCATTGCCTGAGTGTTTACTTTTAGGCTCCTACAATTTCTAACTTCTTAGGGAAGTGAGGAGTCTGACTGTGAGAAATGCAGTTTAATAAATCCTGGACTAGTGAATGCCCAAAGTGCTTGGGTGTTTACCAGTGGGAGTAACTCTCTGTCTCACCCAGGGCACTCTAAACCGTGTCCTGACAAAAATCTCTCTTTTTCCAGTAATACCTTGAGACATTGGGCTCCCTGACAGTGCTCTGAAATGTACAGAAACTGGTTATTTAAAAGACATGGTCTAAATAGGACTTTGGATCTAATTCTCTGTGTTATGCTAACAATGGTTTAGGAAAAATATGAACTGAAATCTATTCTGGTTAGTATCAAGAACAAAAATGGCAAATAAAAGCAGTCAATCGATTTTTAAATTATTAAGATTATTAAGGTAAATTTTTTGTGTTTCATTAGGTCCACAAATTAAGAATAATTATCTTTTCAGGTGGAAATTTGTATTTGCTGAGATTACTCGTGTACAAAATTAGGTACCTTAGTAATTCTCTGCAAGTTTGTGGCCCAAATGTGTGATATGAGGAATTGAAGAATATGTGCGTGTATTTTAAATTGTATCTCACAGAAAGTGTATAACAAATAGTTCCAACAATTATTCACTGCTACAGGAGTTCAAAGAGCAAATTTACAATTGTGTTCACTCAGAACTTGCATACTTCTTTGTAAAGCTGGAAATCAAAAATCTTGTATGAGGACTGCATTCTCTTGAAACATCTCTTGAAATTTGGAATTTTTTTTTTAAATCTTTTTTATTCCAAGGATAAGATAAAGAAAAAAATTCTTCATCAATTTATTTTACCATAAAAAAAAATCCTAGTTAACTGTTGCAGGGTGCTGCCTCTTACATGGAGATCAGTGTCATAACACAAACACCATGTCAGATGTGGCATATTTAGCAGCCAATTATTAATATATTATCCAGCTAATGATTTAGTAATCTCTTTCCCATAATTTTGTCGATCCTATAACATTTATTTATCACACATACATAACATTTTCTGGTTTGACTGAAGCACCTTAGCAGAGCCATCTTTGAGCTGTTGCTTTAGGTTTCAGGTTTCCTCACCGTGCTATTACTGTGGATTAATTAGCCTTTCCCAACAGAATGGTGGTGTTAGAATATGAATGAAGTCCTGCAGCGATCCCTTTCAAGTGTGGGATCACTGGGTTAATCTCTACATGAAACAGTTTGGTTACTGAATGGAGGAGCTGCCATGTGGGCTAAAGCTGGCAAAGTCAATATATTTTAAGAGATTTAGTAAGACATACTCTTCAGAAGTAGCTTCACAAGAACTGTGTGGTCTGCAATAATTTAATAAATTGGAATTACTTTTATATTCAATTGGAGTGCAGCTTTAGTTTCCATCCTTTCCATTTGCTGTATAACAAAGACCTAAAATAATTGAGTATAATCCTGGGCTGTCACCCTGGGAGCAGGCAGAGCAGGGAGGGTGCTGCTTCCAGTTGTCCTGATATATTCCAGCTACTACAGAAACATTAATGAACCCCACGTTATTAGCCTGTGGTTTCATGATCTTTTCTCTGGCAGGCAACAACGACCTGACACAGGGTCTATGCACAGGGATCTGAATTTGGCATCAGCAGGGCTCAGTTAACTGGAGGAGCAGCCCTAAATTCCCTCCCTGCCACTGTTTGAGTTTTCAGTCAAGGCTACACACTTGGCTTCCCCTGTCTGCTCACTGTCATGCTTGTCATGCTTGCTTACTGTTAATATTTCGTGCATCCTACAAACTGTTAGTAACTGAATTCTTCCCACGAATGCCATGTGCCATGTCCTCTAACACTGATATTCTCACCTGAGTGATTTTACCCTGCTGAATGTCCCAGACTGGCAAAGGGGCTTGCACCTCTGTGCAGGGCACCTGAGAAGTGGCAGCAAGGGGAAAGTGCATCAATTGTTTGTGCATTTTCCTCAGGGAGAGCTAAACTGGAGCTGGATGTGTGACTTGTGGCTGGAATGGAAGCAAAAGGAATGTGAACCTTGCATCAGAAAGGACGTGGGCATTTCTTGGGGGACAAGGATTCTCAGTGGGAGCTTGCTAAATATTTCTTAGAACGATGATTTTTGTGTTTATTTTTTCATTAAGTGGTCATTGTCCTACCCAGATATACACCCTCCTTATTGCCAGAAGGACAAAACTCTATAGGGATTACTTCATTTTAAGTAAATATTCTTTGCTCTTATGCTTGTCCATTGTTAAATCATAGTTCAGCAGCAGTGACTGAAGTGGGTCATACTTCTTTTTCCTGATTTCCAAGTAAATTTAACCAAGTGGAGTCAAACATCTAACTCAAACATTATTTGGTTTACCTTCCACTTAGGACTGTGAAAGAAACACAAGAGAGAAAAGGAGAAACCTGTGACAAATAGGAAAAAGTAAAGAGGTTGAAGGAGAAGGAGGAGCTATTAGTACTTGCTTGCCTACCTTTCCATAGGTACCCAGGCTGAGGGCAATCACTAGCTATCAGTTAAGTAGCCTAGTGAGTAATTTGTAGCAGAAAGTGTTTTTCAGCTCTTTCAGGAGGTGATATTTACTATTCAAGATATGCGAAGTCCTTTTTTTTTAACCTTGATGCATACTAAAAAGAAACACGAGCTGGAAGAGAAAAGTCACCAGTTTTATTAATAAATCTTGCTGTGGTTCCTAGCACCAAATTTTCATCTGCCCATGTCCTGCTTGCTGTCTCACATCTCCTTTCTTTACTAATGCAGTTTTAGGGGTCTTCCATAACAACACCCACCTTCATTTGCAGGAGGGGATGGATGAAGATTTCTAATGATGAATAAGAGATATTCCTTCCCCTGCAGTGGACAAAAGTGAGCAGAAATTCAGGCCTTCAGTCCTGCAGCTGCAACAGGGTAGGTAGGGGCACATCCTTGTGCTCACAAACCCCAGGGAGTCTTTCAAATGACAACTCTGCTCTTCTCCCTTCTGATAAAGCAGAGAAAAGCAAGAGGGCAGCCTGAGCTTTAGGAAGTGTGTCTGTGAGGATAGGGCCACACTTGAAAAGTGACAGAATATGCCAGCATACACAATTTCTCCAGTTTTTACACCTACGGGGTAACAAAGATACCAAAAATACCCTGAGATTTTTTTCTGAGAATTGGCTCCTGTTAGAACTAATTTGAGTACACCTGAAGCATTGCCACCAATTTTTTTTGTATTTTGTTTTTTTTGTCACTGAATGAATTCAGTAGAACTGTCTGTTAAACATTTATTTTCCTTTTGTTTTTCTCTAGCACAGAATGAAAACTGTTTACAGGAAGAACTAGTCTCCCTACTTAGTATGCAACATAATTTAGTGTTTAGAGTACCTATTCTGTAATTGTGTATGTGTATACACAGCTAAATATGTACTTCTCAACAGGGCTTAACCTTCTATGAACATATGTTGTAAATGTACAGTGTTTGCATAATGTTTATCCAACTTGGTAGAATTATGAGGTTTAGTGATACAGAAAACTTCATGTGTTTTTTAACATGGCAGGTGTGGAAGGGATCCTGAGATCAGCTGCAGAGCTCTTTGTCTTGGTTCCTGAGGATGCTCTGAAGTGCAGCTAGGCAGGGTGGCAGTTCTGCTTTGTGGTTCTGCTTCTGTTCCTCCACCATCTCTAAACAATGTATTTTGAAAATTGACAGATCTCTTTCAAGCAGAGTTTTAGCCCTACAGGATATTGTGAAATAATTGTGGCATGAGATGATGCTTTTTATATTTTGTCTTCAGTTTCTTGATTATCATACTGAAAGCAGTCTGCAGATTTTAAATTTGAGCTGATGGATGAAACTGTACAGCTGAAGAGACACAGCACATGGGACAGGTTTGCAAAAGGTTTGTTCATCTTCCTATGCTAAATGACTGAACATCAGCCAGTAGTGAAATGGCATTAAAGGTCTAGGTCTAGTGAGCTGGCAAAGAGATATTCCCTGAGATACTAAGAGATGGGAGGTTTTTGGTAGGAATTACTGTACTATTAATCTGCAAATGTTATGGCAATAGGTCTAGTGTCTCTTCTTTGGGGACTTAAGTAGAAGGATTTAATTGTTCTATTTTAATTCATTCCATGCCTCAGCCTAACTTATAGAATTTGGAGAGAATAAGAATGGACAAATCAAGTTTTATTATCTTCTTCTACATTGGCAGGTATCCTATAATGGAATTTTTTTTCCAGTTGTCAGCAGCCTCAAATCTAAACTTGATTTTTAACGTTTTCATTGGATGAAAATGCAATTGACAGGGAGAAAATACTGTCTGAAGGAAAGTTAAAAATTACTTCTGGAAAAAAACTAACGCTGTAAGCAGAAGGAAAAAGCAGAAAAACTCCAGTAGGAATACTTGTTAAAGATAATGCTATCAGATTAAAATGAAATTGTTAAAAAATTAATCTACAGACATGGAATTTCCATGTACTAACTTCACACAAAGAAAGAAGAAAAACTTTGTAACTTTTATCTCCCTTGGTGAAGCAGCTTCATCATCTGTTATCATTTTTGATCTTTAGAACTTTATATTTAATGTTTTGTCCTGAAGTGCCATAAGATCTATGAACAGAACTTTCTTATCTATAATATTTCCTGTTTTTTCCTACAAGTCACTCACTATAAGATTGAAAGAATAACATTGTCCATTATCTACTAAAGGCCTTTACTTAGGTTTTATGCTTTGCATATTGTGTTTTCTCCAGAGGGATGCAATTCATTATTTAGATCACTAGCATTGCTACAAAATGAGTTATAAGATCCAGATGATCAGTTGCATGTTCAAAAATTGTACACTCAAAAATGTGTAACATGGAAAACAATTTTAACTCACAGTGCTTGATTAAAAATGTGCTGCTGAATTTTTTTAAGCCACTTAGAATAAATATTTGAAGACCTCTTTTAAAAACAAAATAAGGGAGTAACTTCTCATCATGAGAAGGAGTCTTGTGTTATAGACACTGTAGTCTCGTGTTAGAGAGATAGTAGAATTGAGAAAACTCATGGGTTGAGATAAAGACTGTTTAACAGGTAAAGCAAAACAAGGAATGAATTCCCTGCTTCCCCTGGGCAGGCAGGCAGGCGTTTGGCCATCCCCAGGAAAGCAGCTCCATCATGTAAGGGTTACCTGGGGAGGAAAATGCCTTTCTGAGCCTGAGTCCATGTCTGGGGCATCCCTGGAGTCAGCTGTCCTGGCTGTGTCCCTCCCAGCTCCTCACTGCTGGGCTGTTGGGAGCAGCAGAAAAGGCTCCTCACAAGGTCTGCTCAGCAATAACAAAAACATCTCTCATGTTGTCACCACTGTGTTCAGCACAGATCCAAAGTAGCCCCATACCCACTCCTGTGAGGCAGAGTGATTCTATTGCAGCCAAAACCAGCACACTCAAGGCTCCACTGGAAGGAGTAGTATTGAAAGACAGAAGGAAAGCATTGCATGTGTATGTACAACGCAGATGATTCCCTGCTTCATGAAACAGAATAATCTGGAAAAACACAGTGCAGCAGGAGAGAGGAGATGATAAAGAAACAGGAAAGTGATCATATCTACTACAATGTGGGCCATTTGTAATTTAAGATAAATATAATTTTTTTTTAAGAATGTCTAATATTGATGTCCTCTTCAGCCAGACTTTCTGGCTGAGCAGGAAGCTTTCATCTGACTTTTTGGAGTATTTCAATGGATACCTAAACTTTCCAATTTGCATTAAGAAAAACTATAGCACAATGACTTTATGGAGGCTGTAAAATATGTATTTTATTCTTTCTTTTGAAAGACTGCTCAACATTAAAGCTCTTCTTAGGGCTTTAAAGCAGATTGGTTGGGACATGAAACATGAGGTTTTAAGATGACATTGCTGTGCTGTAGAAAGTCTTTATAAAAGTGCAGGTGTAAGAAAAATTTGATCTGTTATTACCCTAACAAGTCACATTTGTCTGCTAGCTTTAAAGCTTCTTTTAATCACAGGTCGTAGTCTTTGATGTTCATGGCTACCTTTCATCCCTTTTCCAAAATTCTCTTCTGTGCCTTCCTTACATACCCAAACCATAATTCTCAGTGCTGCTAAATCCACACGTCAGACGTTTTTTATTTGTGTACTCAGAAATAGTTTTACAATTTTAACTTTATTTCAATTCTAGTTTTAGTCTAAGTAGTGACTGAACTGTTGCTTTTAACCTTTGTCTTTAAATATTTCTATCTATATACTGAAGGTTATTTTTATTGCTTATTGGGTAATTTTGTTTTAGCTAATTACACTTCTAAAACAGCTGGCAAAACCTTTTAACGACTTGTTAATTCAATACTAACTCCTCCAAAGCTTTATAGAGGACCTGTATGTGGACTAAATTCTGCCATTTGGGTTAGAGTGTTATGGATGTCTCCTCCATGGCACTGGTGCTGATGCCTTTTCTTCTCCTTGTCAGGTGTCCATCCATCATACCTGGCATTCATAATCTCATATTGCTCCCATTTCACTGGGATTACTCTTACAGCAAAATGCAGCCTAGCATAAAGGAGATCTCACTCCTCCCTCCCTGTCTGTCCGAGGATACATCCAGGCAGAAAAAGAAGCACATTCACCATGAACCAGCATTAGGGGACTTGGGTAATGTGCCACAAACCTGCTGGGGTTTGTGGTCAAAGCAGTGCCTTGATTTGGTTTGGGAGTATGTGGCACAAAGGCCAGCAGAGCAGAGAGCCAGTGTCTGTGCAGAAAGTCACAATGCTTTTATGTGCATCTGTCCTTTATTGTAAGGTGTGGACTAGGTGAGGGACTATCAGAGCATTTAAAAATGTCATCTCCTTTAATCCTTCTGCTGTAATCATCCCTAACAACAGGAGCATTAGAAAGTAGCTGTGCATTAAGTGTTTATTGCAGCAGAGCAGAAGTTAAGCATTTCATTGAACTATTAAAACCAGGGCCTAAATGTGGGAAGGGTATTGGCTTTGCAGATCTCAGATTCATTCAGCCAGAAGCATTTGGTACCAGCGATCAACTGATGAAAATTAGAGAAACAATATGTGGCTCTGAGCTTTTTCACTTCCTTTTTTTCCTACCCAGTTGACAGCAAAATCCTACAATAACAGAGTGAGCTACAATGGCATCTAATGATTTTCTGGGAAGCAGGGAGTACACTTCAACAGGGAACCAGAAGCCATGTCATACTGATGCTTTATATGCTAGAGTTTAAAAGCCAAAACCTCAGCAGTTGGTGACGGAGACATGCTGAGGGAGGAAAAAGTAGCCCTGAATTTCTTCACCAACTCATATTTTACTAAAATTTATAACATTCTAATTTCAAAACACCAAATAAACATGAAATAGGGAGACATTTAGGCCAGTTTTAATCCAAATGAGGATTATAGGCTGCAGAAAGTTAGTTCTTGGACACTTTGTCAGACATCTTTGGTTATTTAATTGAAGGAAATTACAAAACAAGCTATGGAGGAACAAAGTGACAGAAATGTCAGAAATGCCTTTCCACTGAGTTGCATTTCTCAGGACACCTGGAGGTAGAGGTCAGGCTGCTCTGAGCTCGGCCAGCTGCAGCTTCCCTTTTGGCAGCTACCTACAAGGAGTCACTCCCGAAGGCAGGGTGTTGGAGTGTGTAAAACAGAAGCCTCTCTGAGTCCCTCAGACAGAGAGAAGCATGCAGGGATTGAATTAAA